GTACACCTAATTTCAAATGTACTCCTGAAATGCCATATTTTGTATTAAATGCATCACCGGTAGAGATTGCTTTCTTAAGAAGCAAAAGTTGTGATAAAACCAGCATTAAAGCGTATTCCAAAGATAACTAGTTTGCAAACAACTTTAATAACATTGCAGATATTTGTAAAGTCTTACAGTTAAGTTCAGAAAATTTAAAGTAGGTATTTGAAAGATGCTATTGAGTCTGATATAGCTGTATTTGGAGATGAGATTTTTAGATGTTTCAACTTAGCGTCATATAGCATTTCAGGATGCGAATTTGGAAGAACACACCTGGATATCACTTTGTACAACCTGAAATTCTAATCTTGGAGAGTATTAGGTCAACTCCAGATGAACCTGTACCAGCTAGATTGAATCGGGCCTACCTTCCCAAGCAAGACGCGCAAAACACCGGATTCCCTCTGGTTTTTGAGCGCAAAATCGATTATCAAGAGGGCCGGGACTCCCAAGAAATCACCATTTATGGAAGGGGGAAATCAAAGACCTAGACTTTGCCCTCATCATGTTGAAAAGCTATAACCTTTTCCAGTTACAATCTAGAAGCCTCAAAGAACCTACATAAACTACTTTTCTACGTTTCCCTGCGACACGCCCGCTCCGGTGTCAGCCGGTCGCTGTGGCGGAGCCGAGTCGCGTGAGCAGCAGCCGTCGCAAACTCGTGGCTAAACCCGGCGGGATTGGGGGGGGGGGGGGGGCGTGAGGCACGTGGTGGCGCTGCGAAGGGACAGGGATGAGACTCTGGACCCTGCTGCCTCTCGGCTGATAAGGGACCCCGCCGTGGTCACATCAACTCCAAGGCGGACCCCCTTCCCGGGACTTTGGACTCGATGTTCCGGGATGGATTTCAGTTTACTAAAAGGCCCCTCGGACCCCAGCTCCTCATTCGCCACCTCTCCTGAGGGACCCCGCGTTCATCAGAGGGCAGCGACTGACGAAGCTCTGAAAGCGAGAAACGGCTCCCTAAGCGGCTCGCTAGGTCCTTCTCTCCCCACAATGCACCGGGGCCAGCAGGAAGGCCGCTCAGACCCCTAATTTTCCCGCGAATTCAGTTCAAAGAGGCGGCCGGGCCCGCGATCGGCAGCGCGCACAGGCCAACCAAGCCGCGCCTCCGCGAGAAGCGCCTCCGCGTGACTGACGGGGGAATCTGCGGGCCAACAGGCTGGGTGGCCCGGCGGCGCGCGCTCCCGCCCGCCAATCAGCGCGCCGGGCGGGGAAGTGGGCGGAGCGAGGCCAGGGTAGGGTGAGCGGCCTCCGAAGCTGAGCGGGGCTCTGAGGAGACACTTTTTTTTTTTCCTCCCTCCTTCCCTCCTCTCCTCCTCCCTTTCCCTTCCCCTCTCCTCCCCTCTCTCCTCCTTCCCCCCTCGGTCCGCTGGAGCCTGCTGGGGCGAGTGGTTGGTGTTACAGGCGCTCACTCTCCGGGGCCGCCCGGCGGGTAGCTGGCGGGGGGAGGAGGCAGGAACCGCGATGGCGCCTCAGAAGCACGGCGGTGGGGGAGGGGGCGGCTCGGGGCCCAGCGCGGGGTCCGGGGGAGGCGGCTTCGGGGGTTCGGCGGCGGTGGCGGCGGCGACGGCTTCGGGCGGCAAATCCGGCGGCGGGGGCTGTGGCGGCGGCGGCGGCGGTTACTCGGCCTCCTCCTCCTCGTCGGCGGCGGGGGCCGCGGTGTTACCGGTGAAGAAGCCGAAAATGGAGCACGTCCAAGCTGACCACGAGCTCTTCCTCCAGGCCTTTGAGAGTGAGTATGTGGGAGGCCGGGAGGGCAGGAACCCCTGCTCCCGGCGTGGGGGGACGGGACGCCTCTTGGGGCCCGCGCTCCCCCCCGGCGCCCACCGGCTTGGGAGCGGGGAGACGGAGGGGACGTCCCCGCGCCGGCACTGCGGCGACCGCCCGAGGTCCGGGCCCTGGGGGCGCGAGGGGCCGGGGAGCACCCGTGCTCCCCGAGCCCCGCCGGGAGGAAGGGGTCGGCGCCGGGCCGTGGTAGTGTGGAGGGCTTCCAGACGGGCTGCAGTTGATCCCGGGACGAGTTCTTGTTTCCTTTCGTGCCGCTCCTACTCAAGAAGTGGCCGTGTTTCGGCTGCGGGTTTCGAGGGTCAAAACAGCCTGGGAAGGGATGAGCACGGCACAGCCGACGGGATTGTCATTAGCCCGAAACGTGCCGCCGCGCTAACTTGGGTTGCGCGAGAGCAGGGCCCCATCGGATGCTTTAAACCTTTGAAATCTGTTGTCCGCCCATTTTATGGATATGGAAACTGAGAGTGGTCAGAAGTATCTTTTGTGGAGACGATCTCGGAGTTTTTACTTCGTTCCGGAGCGTCTTCTGATAACGATTTTTGCTTCTAAAGGCTGTTTGGAGGGCGAAACTGACTTCCTGGGAAAGGGGAGTAAGGTGTCTGGCTACAAACAAAAGAATTTATAAACAACATCGTGACTATAAATAATCTTAACTGATTTAAATGAATTTTGTATCATGGTGGTTCTCCTGTTTGATTCGTGTGGATATTAAAATTTAGGTAGCCTTCCAGCTGAGTGTCTCAAACTTGAACAAACTGTGCGCTACCACCGAATGTCTATTTACAATATTACCGTGGCATATGCTAAAGGCTTGGTATCAGCTGTGTCTGGAAAGACATATTACATTGTTTAATACCCTTCCTTGATTCTCTCATTAGTACTTCATGAAATTCTAATTGGAATTTCATACAAGGAATTTCAGTTTTTATGGAAACGGATTGAACCTGCTTCAGAAAGATTTACATTATTCTTTTACTTAATATATAGTACTTTCAAAAATCTACAAAAGCTTTAGTTGCAAATATAATGGAAACTAAAGGACAGTGACAGTAAGGTTACTTGATTTTAACACTTCTAATATATCTCATCTTTTAGTTTAACATGAAATTAAAGAGTAGGTGAAAACTTAAATTTCTTTCTAAATGTTAGGAGAAAATAAACCCTCCAAGAAAGTTTTAATTATTTGCTTTTTGATCCATCCACCTGGAAGAAGGCAACTGTCAAAGCTAGCTCTGGTCATGAAACAACTTGATTCTTCTCTAATACTGATCTTCGGAAGTGTAAATGGTTTAACAAATATTCGTTTAATTTTCTTGATAATGTTTAAACGTGATGTGAATGAATAGTCATGATGGTACATGTGTAATTTTTTATCTTAAGTTCTTTGTGCTTTGGAACTCAGTTGTGCAAATGTATGTACTGGAGGCATTATTTACATGTTGAGGTAATATTTACCTCGGGCAAAATATGTAATTTAAGCTAGAGTTAGAAAGATTCAGTGAGAATTTTAATTACAGTTTACATATCAGGCACCTTTCAGTATTAACTGACTTTCCTATCAGTATTAGGAAATAAGGGAAATGGTTTTTATTCCATTTTGTCTGGTAATTATAATATTAAATGGCCAATTAAGAAATTTTCACTTTGTTTGACATCAATAAATATAGTTCTTTGGTTGAATAGTTTTCATTTCAACTAGTTTTTTTGAAGAATGTGGGTAGCTTAAGTGAATATAGCTACAGCTCTTTAGTTTTACATAACTGTGGGTACCTTAGAAGGATTTACAAACAAGATTGCAGAGAGCCTTAAGCTTAAAATTAATGTAGATGAATTTTATGAATATATGCCATTGATTGAATGTCCTTTGATCTTGTACATACTAGTTTTCTTGATATATTTAGTACATGATTTCCTTAACAGAATCAATTTGTATTGGTTATGACATGGACTAGACTGGTAGTTCTCTGACAAGTAATAAGTAAATTTAGATAATATTTGGATATTTTTTCCTGTTGCCTAGAACCAACACAGATCTATAGATTTCTTCGAACCCGAAATCTCATAGCAGTAAGTAGTCAATGAAATTCATCAATATTACTTCATTCTTATAACTTCATCTGTATTTAATGTTAATATTTACAAAACTTTTTTTTTACAGCCAATATTTTTGCACAGAACTCTCACATATATGTCTCATCGAAATTCCAGAACAAACGTCAAAAGGTACATTTTATGAATCTTATTTCAAGCTGATCAAACCATCTGAAAGTTTTGTTAGTACTAATTCTAATTAAAGGTTAACTGTGAGGCCCTAGGTAAAGTAGTGACTAATTCAGTTGATTGGCAAATCTTTTTTTGGGGGGGGTTCTTTTTTTTAACAGCAGTGGGATTGAACCCAGGGCCTCACAAATACTAGGTAAGCTCTCTAACACTAAGCTACTTCCCCAGCCTCAACATTAATTTGGTAAATTTTATCTTCCTGGGGATCAAAACCAGGATCTTTGGACTGAATCATTTTCCTCATCCTTTTCTTTTTTTGAGACCACGTCTTGTTAAATTGCCTAGGTGGGGCTCAAACTTTCAGTCTTCCTGCCTCAGCCTCCTTGAGTGCTAGGATTATAGGATTACATCTCTTTAAAAGTAATTTTTTTTTTTTTTTTTTTTTTGCGGAGCCAGGGATTGAACTCAGGCCCTTGCACTTGCCAGGCAAGTGCGTATTCAACTGAGCTATTTCCCCCGCCCCAGAAGTAATTTTTCTAGTATCATTTTTTGTAAATCCCAGGTAATTCAGTGGAAAGGAATGAAGTGATTTTAACTCATTATTACTCTGTGCCATTAGTTTTTTTCAGTTTAGTAGCATTCCAAAATCTTAATACTTAATAAAGAGCCCAAGGTAACCATATTTGATGCATAACATTTAGTAGGCAATTTAAATATATTTGTTGTATCCAATAATAAAGGATTAGTTTCTATAGTGATGAGTTCAGAAAGTTTCATTTCATATCTTTGGTAGTCTTACTGAAGAGGAAATACTTTTCAAGTAAATAGTATAAATGTTTTAAATAGACTGCCTTAATCATCTGATCTTAAAGTGGGTCTGGAGATGTGGTACAGAGCTTATTTTTGCTGTGTAGCATTTAGTACTTTACCAAATGTAATAATATTGTATGCATGTTTGTTGTTTTTATTTGTGTTTGTTTGCGGAACGGGGATTGAACTCAGCCCCTTGTGCTTGCCTGTCAGGCACTTATTCTACTGAGCTATCTCCCCAGGCCCTATGTATGTTTCTTGTCTTATTACAATAGTATATTTATTGAGTTCATCAAGTAAGTAAATTTAAAATCACAAGTGAGACTTTGTATAATAAGCATTTGATGTTATAGTCTTAAAACTGTTAAGTTCTTTGAGTATACAGTACTTTTAACCCTAAACTCCTTGGGATATGTCTACTTACTGAGTAGTCATCCCATTTCTACACCAAAATATAGGGGTTTTTTTTTTTTTTTTTTTTTTTTTGGTTTTTTTGGCGGAACCGGGGATTGAACTCAGGCTCTTGCGCTTGCCAGGGAAGTGCTTATTCCACTGAGCCATCTCCCCGGCCCACCAAAATACAGTTTTTATAGATACATTAAGATGTATTCTGAAGGATTGACATGTTAAAATTCTTTTTCAATATCTTTCTAAAATGATCAAGAGAGATAGCATTACCTTTAATGGATAAAACTTGCTAAGAACTTAAACTGGGAAAAGGGTGATAAATTAGGCAACAGAGTTAAATTTATTAACTTGTTTACTACTACATTATCTGATATATGCCAAGGTTCAGCAAAACTTTATTTTGTAAAGCACCAGGTAGTAAACAGATTTTGTGGCCAGAGGGTAAAACAAAAGTAATCTATAAGTACTTAATACAAACAAAAAGAATGTCCACAAATTTTTATTGATGAAATTTAATGTACAACAATACAAAGTACAGTGTTTTGAAATGCAACTCTACTACTGAGAAATGTAGAATTCTTTTATTGTTGTGGAATGGGGGAGAGGTCATATTTTACTTAATTGGAGTTTGAGTTAGTGTTTGCTGTCATCAGATAAACTAACTCATAATCTAGGGCTTCTCTTGCCTCTGCGTGCCACACAAGTGCTCTGGTCTTGAGATATAACCTCTCTAGACCTTTTAATGTTTTTATTTTGAGACAGCAGTCTTGCTAAATTGCCCAGGCTGGCCTAAAAGTTGGAATTTTTGCCTCTGGAGTAGCTAGTAGCACTTGTCCTGGCTAAACTATTTTTAATACTTTATAAGTTGTTATCTAGGAGCCTGCCTGATTTTAATTTTAAAAGTGGCCAAATTAAAAAAAACAAGTTTAGAGTGGAGTATGGCAGCATATTGTAGTCCTAGTACTCTGGGAGGCTGAGGCAGGAGGATCATAAGTTTGGGCTCAGCCTGGGCAACTTAGTGAGACCCTGTCTCCAAATAAATAAAAAAGTTTGAGGATGTAGCTCAGTGCAGAGGCCAAGTTGTGGTCCAGTACCATACTTACAAAAAGAGTTCATAAATGGATTAAAATATACATTTAAAAGCTAAATTCATGTTTATTCTGTCAGGGTAGTAGATTTTGTCTTCTTGTGGGATGTGTTGTATCACTAGGCTTGGTAGTAAAAACTGAAATTTCTCAATTATTGTTCTTTAGGTTTTAAAAATACTATCTTTGGAGCTAGGTGTGGTGAACACCTGTAATGCTAGCACTCTGGTAGGCTGAGGCAGGGGGGTCATGAATTCATGCTAGCCTAGACTATATAGGGGAAATCTTGAAAAAATTTGCTACAAAGGAAACATTTACATTCTATAAAATACATACAATAATGCATAGGAATTGCTTAATACTCTCATTAAATACCTGACTATAGATGCTTTAGGATTTTTTCTTCTATTTTTTTGAGATAGGGTCTCACTTTGCAGTTCAGGCTGGTTTAGCACAGGCTGGTCTCAACCTCAGTGATCCTCCCGCCTTAGCCTCCAGAGTGCTGGGATTATAGGCGCATGCCACTGCATTTGACTTTAGGAATAATTTTTAACAAAGTATAGCACAAGTGGTATTTTTAGATGAATGTCATCATCACAGTAGTTAGTGGCTTGAGACTGAGAATGAAGCTCAAGTAAGTGGTGGAACTTTTGCCTAGCGTGTGTGAGGCCTTGTGTTCTATCCCCAGTACTGCAAAAACCGAAAAGTATCAGTGACTTTGAAAAGTCGTTTTTATGATCTCTTCTGAAATTGTTTTTGGAGCTTCTTTTATTACTATAACATCCTTTTTAGTCTTGCTAGGAATTGAACATGGGACATAGGACGTGTTTAGGCAAGTGCTGTACCATGGAGCTACACACTCAATCTAATAATAGCCATTGGATTAAGTATTAAGTCATACTCTCAGTTGTAATGTTAATTTTGGTATATTTGTTGAAATCATCTTATATTTTAGAGTTCATAGAGGCTTTTTCTTTTTTCTTTTTTTTTTTTTTTTTTTTTTGGCAGAACAGGGGATTGAACTCAGACCCTTGCGCTTGCCAGAGAAGCACTTATTCTACTGAGCCATCTCCCTGGCCCTCATAGAGGTAGTCAAATTCTTCAGGGTACTACTATGTAGAAATATAGGTGATAAAGCAGGGTAACTTTTACCAAATCTGCTTTATTAAATTTCGCATAAGCTGCTTCAGAAGCTTCCCAAGAAAAAGTTCAGAAATTTCTTGAAGTTTTAAACATTCTTTTTGATGACTTTGATGAATTATTTCTGTCTTAGGTAGGTACTTTTTTCATTGCTGAGCCCAAAATTGAAGAAGTAAAGATTATTTATCTCACAATTTGTAGGAGTTTTAACTCATAGTCTGGCCCCAAGGCAGGGTGGCAAATGGCCAAGAGGCAACAAACAGTTCAAGGCAGTTGAAGACAGGAAAAGCAGTGAGCAAACCCTGAGAGACAGAATAGGGACAAATCCCTATCTGTCTCTTACATTGTATGCAGGACACTCATCCTACAGTGGTATACTAGTGACATCCTTAATTCCAGTATTGGATCAGGAATCAGTTTGACTAAATTTAGTCAAACTAAATGTAGCCACCTCTGAAAAGCCCCCCTCCCCATGACTTCATAAGGCTTTGGAGGGATATCCAGATACAAACCATAATAATTTCCTTTATTAAAGTTGAAGCTAGTAGTAGCATTGCCTTTTTTTTTTTTTTTTTTTTTTTAGCATTGCCTTTTTAAAGAACAAAAATACTTGGTGTTAGGAGAAGGGGTACTTTTTGTGTAGCAGCAATTGATAAGGTTTTTCTTTTGCTTTTTCCTAAAGAAAGCTATGACCTTTATGGTCTTTACTATTAAAATAATTGGTTGTTACTCTGCAGTTATCCACATTTATATGAAAGTCCTTTTTTGACACAGGTAAACCTTGGGAGTTACAGTCTGGCTTCTTACAGAATTTCTTTTTCTTTTTTTGCGGAACCAGGGATTGAACTCAGACTCTTGCCCTTGCCAGGCAAACACTTATTCTACTGAGCCATCTCCCCAGGCCCTAGAATTTCTTATTAATCATGTAAAGATAAATGTTATTCTTAAAACTTTCCAGTAACAAGGGCCGGGGAGATGGCTCAGTAGAATAAGCGCTTCTCTAGCAAGTGCAAGGCCCTGAGTTCAATCCCTGGTTTCACCAAAATAAATGAATAAAATTTGAAAAAACAACTTTCCATTAACATAAAAATCCTCCCCAGTAGTAATTTTCAATATTTATAATGAACAGTTCTTTGTAACTGGCTTATGAGTGTTTCATTTCTCTTTTGTCTTCATATTTGTGGTGTTTTAAAAGGTATTTCCATACTTCATTGACCACTTCTTACTGTGCTCTATTAGATGAAATTTTAAGGTTTTTGTTTTTTTTTTTAATCATTTATTTGGTACAGGGTCTCACTAAGCAGTTGACTCAGTGATGGTGTGTCACAGCCACTCAGTTCTGAGACTACCAGCGTGTACCACCACACCTGGTTTCTTTTTTTCTTTTTGGCAGAACCGGGTATTGAGCTCAGGCCCTTGTGCTTGCCAGGCAAGCTCTTATTCTACTGAGCCATCTGCCTGGCCCCTGCAGTTCTGCGGTAGCATGGCATGCGGTACCAAGGATTAAGCCCAGGTCATTGTGCTTGCCAGGCAGGCCCTTAGACTGCCAAGCTATCTCCCAGTGCCTGGATGGTATTTTAAAATGAAAGTTGTCAGTTTTAAAATGAAACTTTTCAGTTTCTCTATAGAGAGGGTTTTTAAAATGCTCTTTTGTTGAGAAGACTTCATTTTAATTATGAACCATGAATATTATTATTCTTGTCAGTGTTTTACTTTAGGAGGCTGCAGGAGGATCCCAAGTTGGAGCTCAGTCTGGGCAACTTAGCAAGACCTTGTCTCAAAATTAAAAAAAAAAAAAAAAGCCTGGAGATATAGCTCAGTGCAAGAACCCTAGGTTCAATCCCTAGTACTCTGCCACCCCAAAAGACTGGGTGTTATGGTAATTTGTATTAAGATTTTTGAGTCCAGAACCAGGGATTTAAGTCCCTCCCCCCAAGTTCAGAATTTGAAGAAGATACAAGTATAAGTAATATATTCTTAGAGCTGGCCAATAACTCAGATTAAAGTACCTGGAAGCAGGGGCCAGGGTTTCCCGTGCCTGCCTTGCTGGCTCTGCCCCCCAGGGTGCACTGAAACTGCAGTTGAGACTGGACGTGGTGGTGCCCACCTGTATTCCCAACTCTTGGGAGGCTGTAAACGGGCAGATCACTAAGAGTCAGATTTAGCAGTGAGACCCTAACACCCTGTAGACCCTTCTCTAAAATACAAAAAATAATAATA